GAATTAAGGAAAGGGAAGAATGATGAAAAATGATGAAAGGGACGGGAACTCGTGATTATTGGGAGATTGGCCTAATTTCGCCTCGATCACCCGCAACCAGCCCTGAACCCGGATTGAACATTTTTCCCGGATTTTAACAGTTTTCACTACTGCCGATGGTCGAGGTTCCCTGCGTCGCTTCCCCTGGTTTGCTTGATTACTAACATTATCGCAGTTGGGATGTTCTGCGAGCGGGAGTCGCATGGACAACATGGGGTGGTGCTACCTTGGTTCGACTACGGTGTTTGGTTCGGTACAGATACGAGGGTTGTTACGGAGTGGCTACGACCTACGGTGTCTGACGTGCAACAGGTACGGTATGGGCCCGGAGACAACTGTTTCACTACGGTGACTTATCTTCAGGTTTGGGACACCTGCGGTGATTTATTCTCAGGACCGGGGCTACTACGACAGTTATTCTAGGCTTGGAACCTTGGCGGCAGTTTGTCTTCGGGTCCGGAAACGTGGCGGCATTCTATATCAGGTTCGGGACAGGTACGGAATTATCATGGCATGGTTGTACGGGTTCGGCATCCGCGTGGCACAACAGCCCACTACTGGATTTCGGGTTTGGTCAGGTTCGGTGGCATCACGGTGTTTCGTTTCAGGTTCGACGCCCTCATGACGATTTATCTCAGGTTCCGAACCCCTGCGGTGATTATTTTCAGGTCCGGGACCGCTGTGACGATTTATTTCAGGTTCGGAACCCCTGCGGTGATTTATTTTTAGGACTGGGACGACTGCGGTAGATCATTTCCTAGGTTTGGTGCCACTAAGGTGCTGTATTTCAACTTTGGGACCACTACGCCAGTCTACTAAACTGGGAATGGGCATCAGGCGGGAGCAGTCGGGGGTGCCTGGCACTACAATTGACCGGGGGTCATCCCCGAGCGATTTTGGAACAATGATCACAGTCCAAATGTATCTGTTCCACGTGCCAGGCTCGATACCTGTTGAACATTGAGTAGTGGGCCGAGGCCCCACGACATCCATTCACAGTAACTAGACAATCTGGTGATGGTCTTAAACAAATGGGCCTCACTCCTCTACATAACATCAAAAATGTACTTGGCGCTGGGGATGGTCCCAGTGCATTCAGAATGTTCAAAGGACTGGGGCCCTCTCTGAGCATCCTGCGTGAATACAAGGCCGAGAGCTGGACGGAGGAGAATATAAGGGAAGGACCAGGCATTGTGAAGGGGGGCATGCCAGTTGTACCTAGCGTCTGCTGTTTCGAGCCGCAGTGAGACGGGAGGAGTTCGGCACGAAGCAGTTACGAGCGAGGCAAAGCGGGCGAGGTGTACCCAGACAGTAGCACGTGAGGGTCACGCGTCGGGAACAGGAAAACGAACAGAACATGGAGTTGGAGCTCATGCTTGCTGAGGGGCTCTCGAGAAAGACAGCGGTGTAAGGACGCAGCGTGCGCGCGATTTCCTTTCCAGACAAAGAACGATCGCGTGAGCCTGACTGTGCGAGCGAGAGGTAGAGGAACTTCACTGAGATGGAGATGGCGCGGGTATTTTGATGCGAGGCAGCGCGCAAGGTGTTCGCTGTAGTGGAGCGGTTGAGTGGCTTCCGTGCCCGCATGTGTGGTGGTGAGGTGAAGGAATGGATGAGGCGTGTGCGACGAGGACGTGACGGACGGGGAGATCCAGGAGTTTACCTCGCCCATACGAGCGCGCTCCAAACACGGAACTGACAGGACTGAGACGCGGGCGCTACAGACGCAAAGACGAGAGCGACGGGTTGGGAAAGAAGCCGTGAGATGAGTGGATGGAGAGTGATAAAGGGAGAGGGAGTAAAGGCAGTGAGAAGAGTGGGCGAGGGTGAAACGACAGTCAGGGGAGGTGGAAAGCATTCAGTTCACATCGCGATACGATGCATGCGAGGAATGGCGCGCTGGGGGCGTGCAATTTTCGTGGACAGTTTAAAGTGAGTAAAGATTGGAAGTGTGCTCAGGGGGAGTGAGTTTGATATGATGAGCGCACGCTTGGGCTTTGAGCAGAGTCCGGGTGGACGATTGAGGGGGCGAATGGAGAGAGCTTGATGTCGGCAGTCTGAGCATCGCCACTAAGGATCGGACCATTTTGGCAAGAGGCGGGAAATCGAAATGAGCACGAAGTTCCCAGAAAATCCTCACTCTGTTCGTAACGGACGAGTAGGACGCAGGTAATTCGACTACACAGACAGCACCGTGGGCGGCCTTCGAGGTAAGGAGGGGTCACCTGCCCTTAGAAGCGGGCTGTATTCACGCAGATTGCTGGGGCTTATTATGGTCGTTTCTCTCTGGTCTAATTAAGTGCATTCACCTACCCTGAGAAGCGGGCTGTATTCACGCAGATTGCTGGGGCTTATCATGCTCGTTTCTCTCTTGACCAATTAAGTGCATTCACCTGCCCTGAGAAGCGGGCTGTATTCACGCAGATTGTTGGGGCTTATCATGCTCGTTTCTCTCTTGACCAATCAAGTGCATTCACCTGCCCTGAGAAACGGGTTGAATACACGCAGTTTTGTTGGGGCTTATCAAGGTCGCTTATGTTCTGTTCTGTTAAGTACACAATGTGCCGCAAGTAGCGGGCTGAATACATGCGAATAGCAGGGGCCTGATGTGCCCGTCTTCCCTTCTGTACAGTTAAGCGCATTAATCTGGCCAGAGGGGTGGGGCGAATACGAGCAGACATAGGGGCTCGAAATGACGTGAATATCTTGTGAAACTGGGAGCATATATCAGACCTGCGGAGCAAGGCTGTGTAACTGAAGATTCGAGTTTGGCGTGATCGGGCATCCTCTTTTGAATGTTAGCAACGAGGGAGAACAGCGGGATAAAGAGAGAGAGGGAACAACGCGCTTAAAGTTATCTATTAAACTCTCTATCTCGCACCTTTGTCCGTCCTCCTGCTGAGTCTTCAGACTTGATGTAGTGTGAACATGTTAAACTGACAGTTGAGAGAGCAAACTGATTGTTGTGTCCCCCGCCGGACTAACGAGCTGACTACTCAAACTTATCACATTGAGGATATAGAGGTCTTTCGGTTAAGTTTGTGAACTACCAGCTGAATCAGTTCGATGATCTGTTGAGTCGTTTGTTTGAACTTATTGAAATAAGAACTCGCTGCACTGACTGTTGGCTAAAGTGATCTTGCGAATTTACCTAAAATAAGTAAAATGGAAAACAGGGAATGAAACAGTTCATCATAGATCCTTTCAGCCTGCTGGTCGCCAAAGACCTCGGAAGCGGGCGTGGCGAGTGACAGGCGTCATTGCCCCTGGCTTCGGCGAATAGTAGGTACCCCTCCCCGGGTTTCCTCACAGCGTGGCCATGTAAAGTGAGGGGAGCATGGATGGCCCAGACCCTCGGCCCCTTGGGAGAACTGTGCGACGACAAAAAACAAGAGCATATCCACGACGACCTCCCAGTCCGAAAAATGGTCCATGACAAGGGTGTGTGGTCCACGCCGTCCAGCCGTTGTCTGGAAACGGATGGACATGCCCCCTCCCCTACTCGTCTGGACGCCTCCTTGAATGGAAAGCGGTCGGCGTTGAATTTCCAGACCGCCAACCGGGTAGAAACGCCCCGTCAACATTTTCCCGATCTTCTTCCAAGCACGGTGGGGTCTGGAATTCCTTTCTGGGCCGACTTTCCACACCGGTTTCCAACACCGGTGGGGTCTGGAAAACACTACAGCGTCCAAACTTTTCCAGGTCGCCGGGCGGTGGGGTCCAGGCCTGGACTCCACTGCCCGGTGGCTGGAAACAGATGTTGGCCACAAAAAAACGGCCGAGCGTGGTTGGAAAGAACTTGCCGCGTTTCGTTGGGACCCCCCCGCCACCCTTGACTCTTGGCACTCGAAACAAATGGACATGCCCGAATAGGAAATCCCCCTGGGGTGTTTCCCGAAAGGGCAAGTCGGGTTGGGGCTGTGGTCCATGGCCTTCTGTCGATTTGCACCAAGAGATGTCTGTGTGTGGCTGTGCACGACCCAGTGTGGAGGGTGCCGCACAAGTACCGTGCAACACAAAACAGCCTCACAGGGTCCGCTCGGGCGGCGGAGCTCGTCTGTGCATATAAATTACCATTGGGAGCATCGGCGGATGTTCCCCCCCTCCACACTCACTGCCGTCGGAACCACTTTTCCCACTCCACGGACCATCCAGAGTGGGAGTGCAGGTACGAAGCACTAACGGGAAGCCACAACCGTGGACGAAGGAGGAGGGTTTGGCGAGAAGTGCGGGTCCGCGAAGGTTGTGCGCTCGTCAAGTGGCCACGACAGCTGGTGTGCAAGGGTCGACGCCTTTCCCATCACAGTCACAGCGTGGCCATGTAACGTGAGGGGAGCATGGATGGCCCAGACTCTCGGGCCCTTGGGAAGAACCGTGCGACGTCAAAAAACAAGAGCATGTCCGCGGTGACCTTGGGGTCCAAAAAACGGTCCACGACGAGGGTGCGTGGTCCATGCCGTCCAGCCGTTGTCTGGAAACGGATGGACATGCCCCCCCCCTGCTCGTCTGGACGCCTCCTTGGAAAGGGAATGGAAAGCGTTGAATTTCCAGACCGCCAACCGAGTAGAAACGGCCCGTCTGCATTGAATTTCCAGACCGCCAACCGAGTAGAAACGCCCCATCAGCATTTCCGCGACCTGCTTCCAAGAAGGGTGGGGTCTGGAATTCCTTTCCGGGCCCACTTTGGACACCTGTTTCCAACACCGGTGGGGTCTGGAAAACACTACAGCGCCCGAACTTTTCCAGGCCTGAATGATAGGGCCTCCACACCACTGTCGAAACGAAAAAAGCCCTAGTGCATCTCCTCCCAGAAGTGGCCAGCTGCATTCTAGTGCTATTCATGGGAACGGATGCATCTTGTTACTTTCTTTGGGACCATGCATTTCAACGTTTTTCGTTTCGACTGTGGTGTGGCTAGGCCCATAGTTACCATTTGCATTTGCATGAGGTGACGCGTGGCGGCGGCCCGGTGGCAGCGGCCCGGGCTTCGTTCCATATTGCAACATTAACGTGGACAATGATTGTGGACGTGAAATCGGTCAGGGGGCGACACGTGGCCGCCCGGTGAAGCAGACAATAGATCCCGGGGATCATCAGTCCCGGCGAAATCAGAATGACGACTACGCGCGTTCCGCTCAGCAGGCTTGCTCCTCTGTCGTCGCGACACGTGGCGGGCATGCCGTGACAGCCGGGAGGGTCTGGCGTTGGCCTGCGCCATATCTGCTCTCACAGCCAGTCTGGCTCGACTTCCCCAAAGCTGGCACCGTCCTCGGCAGCCGTAGCTGATGAAACCTCAGCAGCTGATGTCGGAGTCGGTGATAGCCCGCCACGTGTCAGCGAAAAAATGCTGGACCTTACCGTAGGTAGGTGACAACCTTCTCCGCAATCGTTTATGCGTTTGAGATTCGATCTGCTGCCTTGTAATCCCTTTTTCTTTTGTTCTCCCAACCCCCCCTACATGTGCACCTTAGTTATTGATGTATTATTATGAATTTAAACAAAAAAAAAAACCTCCAAAGTAAAAGAAAAAGACGTAAATGAGACAGAGAGGAAGGGAGGGGGATTGCTTTCCTTTCTTTCATTTCGCGTAAGCGCTTTTTGTCGAGAAGTGTGTGTGTGTGGGTGGTAACGTAATCTCTCTCTCTCTCTCTCTCTCTCTCTCTCTCTCTCTCTCTTGAAGGGGAAAAAGAGAAAGGAGGGATAAAAAGAGAACTATACAAGAAGGGAAAATTGCAACAAAAGACCAATGAAAAAAGAAAAGAAAAGAGAGAAAGGGAAAGAAAAAAATAAAAAGTAACGATTCACTACCCACGCCTTTTCTGCCTGATCTGTATGCACTACGAGTTTGCAGCTCTGTGGCCACAGATGGTATATATGTATGCCCGGTAAACCCTAGGCAGAGAGGGAGAAGGGGACAACAAACGAGGGGTTGTGACAAGCTGTTTCGTCGGAGTTTTACCGACTCATCAGGAGGCTGAATGTATGTATATATGTTGTCACATGATATCAGAGCGCCTAAGCGAAAAAACCAAAAAAACAAAGAAATCTTAAATTCGTTTTTAATCTTCTTCCTTACAACTCCCCCTGTTCAGAACCTCTTGCATACAAGGCCGCCCACGTGGATGTAGGTTGAGCGGCGGCTGCCCCCACCCCCGTGTGTCATATCGACCCACTTGCACACAGCCAAAAGGCAAAGAGGCAAAGAAGAGAGGAAGGGAACAGCCAAATGAAACAAATAGAACAGAGGGAAACAAGACAGATCCCAGATGACAAGTCCCACATGCAAGCACCGCCCGCTCCGTCAAAGGCCAAACAGCGGGACAAGACCACCCAGGACAAGACATAAAAAAGCGACGATCCACAGTGTGACAACCAAGAAAAAAAGAGAAGACAATCCCGGATGACGATTCCCACATACAGGCACCGCCCCGCCTCTCAAAGGGCCGAACAACGGGAAACAACCAACCAGGATGCCAAAAACCCGAATGGCTGGTCCCACRTGAAAGCACAGCCACRCCCATAAGATAGCCCGAACAACGGGACCAAACCAACCGAGGTACAGACAAAATCAGCAAAACAAAAAAAAGGCTCCAATCCACAATGTGACAACCAAAAAGAAGGAGAAGACAATCCCGGATGACAATTCCCACTGTATATATATGTATATCTATATCTATATATGTCCTATCTATCTATATATCTATATATATGTCCTAATTCAAATGACGAAATCCAGGGTGATGA